AGGATAATGATGATATTCCAGGATAATACCCAGTTTTGCCTTCTTTATTCAGATCATGAAACCATTACTTATCCAAAGCAAAAAGAGTTGTTTATGAGTGAGCTACTCCCAGGGAAAACAAAAACGTCTTGGGCTGTGAATGCACCTCAGTTGGGAGAGTCCCTAGAAACTCTGAACCAGGCCCTGGGTTCCTTCTCCAGCAATGGACAAACCTGGTATGGTCACGCACACTTGTAATGCCAGAAATTGGACCTGGGAAGCAGGAGGGTCGTGACTTGAGGTCATCCTTGACTACATAGCAAGTTTGAGGCCAGCCTAGGGTACATAACACCATGTAGCAACACGCAGCAGGAAAGATCCCTGTGTCTGCTTGGGCAGGTCTTTGCTCACTGTTATGGAGAATGTGGCACTCCACTTGCTTCCCTGAATTCAGTCCTGGTAAAGAAATCCATTCACAGTATTCCTTTCAGGTAAGTGGCTGCCATAAAGGATCCCCCTTCACTGTATATGTTGTGTTATGGCTTGCGTGAATAAGAAAATTCCTAGAAAGAAGCTGTGCCCACTAAAGCTGATTGACCGAGTAAAATGTCAGTGACTGTGGAGAGTTTGGAATATTACAGAGTCGGGTTCCACTGGGAACTTATCTTTTACTGCCTTTAGCTATACATTCCTCGTACGAGCTTTGCTATACATTCCTTGTCCACCTCTCTGGTGGACCTAGCATCTCTATAAACGGATAAAAGCCTTTGGAACATATTGACATGCTCCTTGCTCCCCCACTCAAGGCTGAGAATGGTATCACATAGAATCGACTGGATGAGATTGGTATCACGTAGAATCTGAGGTCTGCGCTTACTGTCCTTCTACCTGTAACACACTCTTTGCTGTCTGCATCAGTATATTATAAAGATGTCTTCATGCATGACTTTCTTTTTCACTGTAAGAATTTCACGAGGCTGTTCCCACATTGGAAGACGGACCTTGCAACAACCATGGCCACTTCCATTTGACTCTAGAATAACTGCTGAGGTGAAAGCTGTGTGTTTGCATTGAGCTTTGATGAGCAAGACCTCTCTTGTCATGATCTGCAATGCTTCTGGGTGACAGGCCCTCCTACTCCTAAACTTTTTTTCTCATGGACAATCCACTCAGGTGAGAAGCTACTTCTAAACTACCTGGGCACAGAGATAAAGAAAAAAAAAAAAACCCGCACAGCAAGCAGACTGAGAGTTCAGTTCCCCTGATTCCTCTCCCACCCCATTTGCCACCACAGCTGACTTCTTCTCCCTCACGAAACTGCAAACTAAACAGCAAATTCACCTAGACACTCGATCCCCACGTCTGGCAGCCTCTGTGCAACTCATTTACTTCGTTGGTTTTTCTTTTCCCATGAGCGCAGGCCCTCACTCAAAGACATCCAGTTAACTCAAGGAGCAGAGACTCATCTTCCCTGCACTCTGTGGACCCCAGCTGACCAGAGCATCCCCAGGCAGGCGGCTCTCAAGAACTCTCCTAGACTCCCTGGAGCCCCCATGTGCTGTCACCTCCGCTGCCCACAATCTCTTCCCCTGACACTAGGGAGCACCCCGCGGTGGGGAGGTCGCTGGGGGCTGCTGCATACTGTCCCATCCGGAGAGCAGCCTCCATAGAGACCGCAGCTCCCTGAGCCGGACAGTGCGGGCTGCGACGCCCTATGCACTGTCACTCCCACTGCTGGGAAGAAAATCGCTGCCGCCTCCCCGGAGATTCGGGCTGAAGCAGAGGCAGCTAAGGAAGATCCCTTTCCTTTAAAGTCTTCCTTGCCTGGCAGACACCAGCTGGGCCTGCACTCCCTGCCTGCACCGCCAAGGCCTCTCTAGCCTCTGGAGGACCGCTCCTCTTGATGGTCTTAACCCTTGCTGTCTGAGAGCCAAGCTGCATTTCCAGGGTTGAGCAAAGGAAGTGGTACTCTGGCGGCCAGACTGCTGCACCTGTTTCTCAGAGGAAACCTCCGGGAGACAGCCAGAGAGAACCAGAGGGAGAATGAGAGTGAGACAGTGAAGGCTTCGAGAGAGGTTCAGAAAGAGGGCATGAGGGTTCTGAGGAGATGGAGGGAGGGAGAGATCTGGGAGCAACAGGCAAAAGAGGGAATTGGGAACCAGTGCGGGGAGGGCGTGGGAGGGGAGGAGGGAAGCTCCCTGGGATGGACCAAGTTGATGTGAAACCCAGAGAGAAGCTTCTAGAATGGGGCTTGTGTGCATGTGGGTCTAGACCAGGATCCCTCCTTGGCGAGCCAGCATGGTGCTTTCTGAGAAGCATCCTTGTTTTTCTCAGAAGGCCCATCTCTTCAGTGTCAGAATCATGGTTGAGCTATCTCTGTGGGATTGATTTCTCTTTCTCTCCCCGGGGAGTGTAAGTTTACAGGGAGAAGGGACCACCATTTCCTGTAGTTACCATTAGGCACCTGGGCTGTCACGGGGCTCAAGTCTGTGTTCAAGCTCACAGATGACTTGTTTCCTTGGCATTGCCAGCCGCCCACCCCATCTGCCGCCCTACAGTGTGAGACAGAGTCCCTGAAGAGTTCCTGTTTTCAATGGAGAACAACATTAGCCAGATAGAAACGTGAGAGAAACTCTCCTTGAGATTCCTGACAAACATGAGGACCAGAATGTGACTTAGAAATAGACGGGTAAAAAATTAAGCTCTGTGATTTCTGTGTCAGCAGCAAGTGCTTGGAGAGATTTCCTCAGATGCCAGCTGCATCAGAAGATACTCAGAGAGAAGGCCTAAGTGTTGCCCTGGCTTCTGGAGGACGGCTGATTCTGGCCTGGAGGCCTCTGTGGAGTGGGAGGTTGCTTGTTATGATTGTACAGGTTTCCATTTGCCTTCCCGATATGGTTTCTCTAGATGGACTCACGCTGTTGGCAGAGTATTGATGTGTGTGTTGACCTCTGTGTGGGCGCTGCTTCGTTAGTCTTGTCCAAAAGGATCAAGTGAGGGTCCTTGTGCAGCTGAGCCTCGTGAGCAGTAGAGAAGGGTTCCTATATTTTAAGGAGAATTATTTCAACAGCTCTCTGTCAAAGAGGCAGTGTCTTCACCTACAATACTTTGGCATCTAAGAAAATGTTTTCTCGGTAGCTTCTGTGAGGAAACACTGGCTTTATTTTTGTTTTTCAGTTACTGTGAAATTTGTACATGGGATTGCACGAGATGGCTAAGTTAAGACCATGGCTGCTGCCCATTTTCTTTAGTCAGCCTGAGGGTGGAAAGGAAACCCAAGATACTCCTTCGGGGCTGGAATGGGCAGTCAGTTGTGTATTGCGAGGGCTAGCTGCCTTCTCAAGTGATAGTTCTTTGCTGAAACAGAAACTGTGTCCAAAATTTGTTTACCAGATGGTGAAGAATTAAAGGTAGGGAGACCTCTGCTACCTAGAAGATGGTGGATGCAAATTCAAGCCGGTAGGTGGCAGTCCTGAGAGGACAGATTACTGTGGCTATTAGTAAAGACAGCCTGAAAGGAAATGGCCACCATCAAAAAATACTAGCTGTGTGACCATCAGTGAGTGCCTGAGCTTCTTTGATCGCCAGCTACCTCATCTGCAGGGAGGATGGCAACACTGTTTGAACAGCCCGAATGTGAGCCTGCCAAATCCAAATGCGCCAAGTCCTGAGACTTTCCCGGTACCACTTTGAAACCAGACACAAATTCCAAAGCTGATCTGCTCCTGGCAGCTTGTTACAATGGAAGCAAGGGTAGGGAAGTGCCTCAGTGGTCGAGCACGTGCTTTATGTGCCTGGTGATCTGTGTTCAGTGTGAGCATGCACACAGACAAACAGAAAGATATTCACACATAGAGATGCTTTAAATAGGCATGAATTATATCAGTAAAAAATTGTATGAAATCACCTGTAGGTTTTGTGTATATGAAAGGGAAATCAATTTTGGGTTTCATAGCCCTAAGATATCTCATCATATGTATGCATATATCATCTACTCAGAAAGAAAACGCAGTGTCAGGGAAGGGCTACCCAGCCTGTACAACAAAACCCTCCACACCCAGGCTAAGCCCTTCTTGATCATGGAGCCCCAGGATCTTCTCTGTGTTTTATTCCTCTCTGCTGACACCATCGCAGGTCTTGTTGTAATTCTCACATCCGGTCCTGATGTTCAGATTAGGAGTCCTCTGAGCAAGGGGATCTTGCAGGATTTATGTGTGAATACAGGAAGCGTCACAACTTATTGTTCTGATCACCCAGGAAATGCCTGGGTCATTTCTCCCTGCAGTGTCCAGCGTCTAGAAGTTTGTGTGATCAGGGTAGCGGCCACACAGCCCTCCGTGTTCTGCAGTGGTATCATGCCAGATGTTTTTAGTGGGACCGCCTCTGTTCTGAATGACCATGGCACATCTGATTCTTGAGTTCCTGTTCCTTTGGGGAGATGACAAGTTTCGTGTCTTCTCTCCCCACTGTACCTGAAGGTCTAGCAGCAGTGCAGACCCCAGTGTCCCCCTTTATTGTATGTGTCACAGAACGTTGCTTCACCACACTGGCCTCGTTCTGAGGGTTGGACTCCACTGGTCATGTTATTGATGGTTGCACTGTGTCCCCAGAAAAGACATACACGCCTGGCGAATGCACTCTGCCTGTCTGGTGGTGTTGTCTTGTAGGAGACACGAAGGTGTCACGCAGGCCGTGGGTAGGAGGCTCTAAGCTGTAAAGGCAGAGATTAGTGACTGTGGTGGGCAGGAGGGCTTGTCACTGGTGAGCAATGACTCTCTTCCCCCTGGTGCTTTGCCCTGCCCTCTGCCCTTCCCTGAGTCCTTCTTTTCAACTTCCAGTGGCACTCACATCTCACGTCGACGTCTTTACTCACCCATGCAGGAGCTCCCCAAGGTCGTAACTGTGATCAAGGTCCTGCTCGTTTCGTCTTTCACACTCATAATTGGGCATCTCTCAGCGTCCAGTGACTTTGATGTTCTTTTCTAGAGACACTGCTAAGAAGATTTTCTCTTCTCTTCCAGCCTGGTGAGATAGGATCTATCCTGCTGGGCACGGACAGCAGAGAACTCCGGTGAGGCAGGACCTGGACAAACTCACCTGTCTGTGCGGTGTTCCTTGCTGAAATCCAGGCTCTCCCCTGCTGTCCTTTCACGTGGTAGGTGGCCGCTCTTCAGCACCCATTTCCTTGTGCAGATGTGAGATTTTGCCATTTTTAGTAATATGTCATGATATTATCTAACCAAATTGACTAAAAAAATTCTCTTCCCCTCAACTGAAATAAATTCATTTCCTAAAGTGTATTTTATTACAGATGGGAAGGTGAAAAAGATAATATTTAATTTTCAAAGTGATCAACCTCTATTGGTAGCATTTTTGGCCTCCACATTGCATGCATTTGCTTGCGTAGCCACTTATAACTCCTTGTTCACACTGGGGTGCAAGTGAGGGAGAGAAGGAGCCTGGCTAGGTTTCTTTGGGCTTCATAGACTGGCAAGGTTTGTTTGGCAGTAACCAGATACTGAGAGCACAGCATGGCCAGAGGGCAGGTTGGTCAGTGGGTGCCACACCATTTAACCTGGTCTGGGTATCCAGCCTAACTTCCGTGCCTTCCTTGTCTGAACACTGTGCCCCAAGAGAATTTTTAACTCAGACCTCTGGGAACACTTAGAATCTGAAGAGGTATTGCTCCACCACCAAAGTGCAGACATTTGGAGTCAGGCAGACCCAGGCCGGAATTCCATTCTCTGTGATCCTGTGATCTTTAGGCACAATACCCAGGAGCTTAGTGTTGGAACTCTCCTCCACCGCATTTCTCCACAGCTCTCATGATAGAGCCTAGTGTGCATCTACTAGGGACAAGGTGCTGTGAACGGTGATCATGGCCTCTCACTGGCCTCTCACTTGTCCCCCGGACTAGTAATTTAGGTGTACAGATAAGCACGCCTTGACAGCTGAAGCGGGCGTAGTGAAAATACAGGGTGCTGTGGGAACCTTAGGAAGGTCTTCAGACCAAATGGTAAAAAGCAAAGTGTAGGAGGCCTTGTGGAAGGAGTCCTGTGTAAGGTGAACTCTAAGCGGTGGGTTACAGGTGAAAGTATTCTTGATTTGTAGCACCTATGCCAAACATTTCATCAAAGCCTGCCTCCAATATCTACCCCACTGGCCACTATTTGCCAGAGGAATGGGTGAGTGACCCACAGTTCACCAACATGAGTGCAAAAGAATATCTGCTGGGGGCTTAGGGATATCTGCTCTCAAGAAAAATACAAGAATAGAAAGTTCTTTCCTATACTAGGCTCATACCATCTGTAGATTTCAGGAAAAGACTGGTGGTCCTCGATGGCATCAGTAGGTCACAGATTGTACCTGACCAACATCCAACCCCCTCCCTACAGCCTCCTAACTGCTGGCTGAAGTGGGGAATTGCTGTTCTTTCACGAGGAAGGGTTCTCTTTACTCACGGCCACAGGCAGACTTTCTTACATGGTGAGCACAGTGTATCTTTGAGTTTATATGCTTGAGTGGGCAATGTGATATGTTAGTTCAGGACAATAGCTCTAATTCTTGACAAATTCCGAAATAGCACAGATCTCTGTGACTTTGTTTATCATCCATGTGCCTATATATCATCCTGAGAGAAGTTCTGTCTTACCTGTGTAATGAGTTTGCTATTAAGAACCATAGTGTCATTGGCTATGATGGCTCATGTGTGTAATCCAAACACTCACAAGGATGAAGCAGGAGGATTGACTTGTTTGAGAAGAGTCTGGGCTACAGAGGAGACCCTGTTACAAAAATTTAAGAGTGAAGGAGGAGTAGAATTGCATAGGCACATGAGAGGGTTCTCTGAGCAGATGGGAAATGTGAGGAGGAAAGGAAGCAGGAAAGAAAGGGGCACATTTCCCCTCATGACTTCCACTGTTGCTGCTGGGGGATATTTGGGAGACGGACTTTCCACTCACCTTGTGGCCTTCAGCACAGAACACAGGATTTACACTAGACTGCTCGGACAGATCGGGGGCTTTTCTGTGCCTGCCCTTTACTAAGCCTTATGGATGGCCCTTCATCAGAATGCTGGCTCCTTTCCTGTGGGTTCCTCCTCTGTCAACTACACACATGCATCTGATATTGCATGGGAATTTCTAATTCAGTTTTAGTCCTGTCCTTAGGCCAGCTGTTGCTGATTCTTGGTTGGTGGATGCCACAGGACAGATGACTTTGTGCCATTGGAAGCTGCCTGAGATGTTGCCTAGCGCCACTATCCAAACCTGTCCCCTTCAGCGTCTTATTAAACAGGTTTCATTCACACCAGATCCTAGGTCAGACCCAGCCACTGGTCTGTCTGTCCTTAGTTTTCAAGTTTTGTATTTGTGAAATGACAGTCATTCTATCTACTTCAGGTTTCTGGAGAGATCCTTGTGACGGATGAAAGGAGAGACTCTAGCACACATTTTGTGTTTGGGGGGCGGCACTATGTGTATGGAACCTGTTCTCTGTCCCATGTTTTGTAGTCTACATGATTTGGCGTTGTCAACACAATGGCTCAGCCAATGTTTTCAAGCTGTTCTGCAGGAAGGTGTGCCATGTTGTGGCTGTTATCTGTAAAGATTCCCCAGAGAAACCATATCAATCAGAAATCCATGTCATCTCTATGCCTTTACGCATATCTCTGTCTAGTGCTAGATTCCTTCATTTCAAGGCATTGGCTCTACTAGAATGTGAACCCTGGCAAGTGCAGATTCTGGAGGGCTGGTGTCATGGCTGGATATCATTCATGGAAGAAGTGATGTTGTTATTTTGAGTTTTATTTTGGTGGGCTGACTGAAATGCTGTAACTCAGGCAGGTTTGTGTGCTGGGGACAGGAAACTGCATTACCTCTGCCCTGGGAGGGGCTTCAGACTTTGCCTGACTTGATGAAGTCCATTCACACAATCTGACATGTGTCACTTAAGGTTTAATTGTAGTAGACTGAGCATTGTTGGCAGTAAAATTTCTCCCTCTGAAAAGAGCTTCACAGAAACATTTAGGCTAGTGTTTGATCAACCAGGCTCCACAGACTACCCGTGGTGACACATAATATTGACCACCACAGTGGGGAATCATTACCCTCCCAAACAGAAGCTTTGACCAATCAACATTTTGGGTTTGTTCTTGTCCAGTCATTGTTTCTTCCCACTCTTCCTAAGCTATATGAGATGATGATAGCGACGATGATAGCGTCGGTGATGGCGATGGAGGCAGTGGTGATGGTGATGGTGATGGTGGTGACTGTGGTGATGGTGACCATGATGGTGATGATGATGGTGGTGGTGAGGGTGAGGGTGTTGATGATGCTGGTAGTGGTGATATGGTGATGGTACTGATGCTGGTAGTGGTGATGATGGTTATGGAGGTGGTGAGGATGATGGAGGAGGAGGAAACAGAAGGTTGCCTTGATTTCAACTGATGTTTGGTGTAAGATTTGTATCCCTCTGAGGCAAGAGACAGTTGATGAAGTAAGATGAAGGATGTAAGTCCTATCTATTTCACTAGCTGCTCTCCACATCCTAATAGGGGACATTTGTGGGCCGTCTTGTATTTAATCTCTAGAGAGGTTCATGAGTAACTTCATGAGCATTTTGTTGTGGCACTAAAGAACAGGAAATAGTTCTCAGATGTGGGAGAGGAGGAGAGCAAAGTGTGCTTAATTGCTAGTTTGTTCTGTGATTTGATGTTTCTGAAGTCCAGGCAATTTCTTGATTTAAAGGTCTTTGTGAGACTTATTTTCTCCCTGTGAGAATTAGCATTCTAAACGAAGAAATATCCTGGGGGTGTCTCTGTGACATGGGAAAACTGATCAGATGTGTGAATCTCTAGCGACAGTTGATTCTCAGTAGGCAGTTCTCGATCTCAAGATCCTGCTCTAGCTGGGCAGTGGTGGTTCACACCTTTAGTTCAGCCCTCTAGAAGCAGAGGCAGGAAGATATTTGTGAGTCCTAGGCCATCCTGGTCTACAGACTGAGTTCTGGGATAGTGTGAAGTACACAGAGAAACCCTGTCTCGAAAAAAGAAATTAAAAAAAATAATCCTGCTCTACATGCTTCATACCTAAGGATTTGTGTGGGGTGGTGATGGCTCTCAGGATTTAACCGAAAGATCCTGAGGTTATAGAGTTTTCAAGGACGAAATTGTTAAGAGTCTCCCTTCTTAGAACATTTGTTTTTGTTGTCTTATAGAAAGTCAAGTCACATGACTTGATTGCTTTCTAATATTGTTCTGGGTTTCCTATGTTTATAACAAGTTCTAAGTATTTGGTATGTATTGAAGAAACTAATGACGTATAGGTTTCCAAACTTGCAGAAGCAACAGTTCCAGAGATACCAATCTTACAATTCAATTTAGCAATTAAAATAGGGAGAGTGAGGTGGGTAGGCAGGTGGAGACACAGAGAAAATGAGATTCATCCAGTATAGGTTTACTGAAAGAATAAGGAAAGATGTCCATTTAATATCTACCATTTTGAGTTCTTAGTTAGCATATAGTGGGTGGACGTATTCCTTTTGAAGTACACATTTTAAATATTGATTTCATATTTAATTAAGCGGTGCATGTCTGTGTGCATGTGGATTTGTGTATCATTCTTTGATTTAAGACTTGTTCATACGTATTCTTTGGTCCAGAAGGCTTTTTTTTGTGTGGTGTATTGTAAAAAGGATATTATTATACCGTTGACGCTTTTTTTCTGAAATCTTTGATTTACTGGGTATATAAATTATGAGGTTGGAGTTCATAGTTTTGCATATGGTTATGCAGGGATTTCTGTTTGTTGAAGATTCACCATATTCTGATTCCCTTTGTGCTTTCGTGTCCGGACTCATTTGGAAGGGTGCATTTGTTGATTGTTTCCTTTTGTGCATCTAAGTGTCCATCAGTTCCCATGACAATAGTCTTCCTGATTGCTGGCTGGTTTTGTGTCAACTTGACACAAGCTAGCATCATTTGTGGAGAAGTAGCTCAATTGAGAACAAATTTCCACCAGCCTGGCCTATGCGCAAACCTGTGGTTGTTGTCTCTCTCTCTTTTTTCTTTTTTTAAATTGGTTTTATTGAGTTATAATTTTTTTTCTGCTTCCCTCCCTTCCTTCCCCCTTTCCCATGGTCCCCATGCTCCCAATTTACTCAGGAAATCTTATCTTTTACTACTTTGTGGTAGTTTTCTTAACTAGTGTTTGGTCTGGGATGGCCCAGTCCATTGTGAGTGGTTCCCTGGGGTGTATAAGAGGGCAGGGTGAGCATTTCTCGGGGAGCAAGTCAGTAAGCAGCATTATTTCATGGCCTCTGCATCTGTTCTTGCTTGCAGGTTCCTGCACTGGGCTCTTGCCCTGACTTCCCTCACTGAGAAACTGTGCTATGGCAGTGTAAACTGAAATAAGCCATTTCCACCCCCACCTTCTTGTGGTTATGGTGTTTCCATCATAGTAATACAAAAGAAAACAAAAATATGACACAATAAGGCTTAAAAGTAAATGATGTGATTTATCCAAATTTATTCCTGTTTTTCAAGCCTTGGAAATTCTACATAGGATGCAGGCTCATCATTCTCTGAAGAAAAATATCATTCCAGGATTTTGACTGGCTTTGGATTAATACGTTAATTAAACTAGGCAAATCTTTCAACCCGAGCATACATTTGGCTATATTTAATGAGGCCTTCTTTCATTAGCAGTTTCTATAGTGGTCTATACACCAGACCTGGGTATTTTTTCTTACTTTACAATCTCTCTCTCTCTCTCTCTCTCTCTCTCTCTCTCTCTCTCTGTCTCTCTCTCTATCTATTTTTCTATCTATCTATCTATCTACCTATCTATCTTTATATCATGTGTGTAGCTGTTATTTTTTGTTATCTGTGTTACTTTGCAAATTTAGTTTTATTCTGTTTACTTGGTCGTTTTTTATGTTCAGGCCTTAATTTTTGTCTAGTTCATGCTTTTATGTGTGCAGTGAGCATGTGGATGCCTGTGGGGTCTCTTCACCTCAGAGCCACCTTCTGACGAGTCCCCCCATCCCTTTACCCTGAAAGACTTCTATTTGTGGTCCTCCTGCCTCAGGTGTGTGATACCACTCTGGGCTTGTCCTTGTCTCTGTCATCCATTCCACAACTCTGTCATTAGTTCTAGGAATTTGGACAGAGGTAGCTTTTCCTTCTAGGAAGATGCCGAACAGAAAGTTGAAATACAATGACTAACCCTGGGCTTTTCTTTCTCCTCTTGTCACCTTTCATTACAGTCTGCCTGCTTCTGGCTGCACACATTCTCCCCCCCCCACCTTCTAGTTATCATTAAATCCACCACCTCCCACTTCCTATTGAGATCCGAGGCCTGGTGAGGTCTCCAGCTCAGACTAGCCCCTCATGGATCCCCTCCAGAAATGGGACTCAGCCTTATCTCCCGGGTGTTCTCAAGTGACCATTGTGGAGTCCTCCCAGAAGGGCCCTGCACCTGCTCATCTCATAGCCTTAGAGCAGCTGAGGATAGGCCTCAGCAGCCTGACCCCCACCCCTGGCTCCAGCGCCCCCACATCCTTGGCAGAGGGGCTGCTCCAGGGGCAGTACGTGGAGCCAAAGAGCTTACTGGAGCAGCGCTGGGGAAGGCTGGGTTTCCCTCAGAAGAAGAAAGCCTTCCTGGGCCAGCTGAGACGCAGGCACCGAGATCATAGGTCACCTTACCCAGTGGAAAGGGACACCAGAATCTTCCGCTCAGGACACAGAGCTCAGAATTGGTTCCGATGTGAATGCCTCTACTGCCAGGCCCGTGGGCAGAATATTTCCGGGGAAAGGGATGGGACCACCAATCCTTCCTCCTGGGATACTCTAGTGCAGGGACTTGGTGGCCTTACCCTCAACCTGGGAGCTGACAGACCGGGCCTCCTGCCAGAGGGGGAGCAGCAGCAGCAGCAGCAGCAGCCACAGCAGCAGCCACAGCAGCAGCAGCTTCCACCATTGCTGCCCCATCAGGAGCCAGAGGGGAGGTGCCAGCAGGAAAGCAAGGGCAGGTTCCAGAGGCTGTTCAAGGAGTGGTTTGAAGAAAACTGAGGTCTTCAGGGGACCCAGAGACCTGAAAGGATTCATACAGAGCTTCACTGCCAGCTTTGCGCGTCGGCTTCTTTGTGGGACAGACTGCTCACCTGTCCTTTCCGGACTCCCAAGACCTGCACGTTTTGACCACCATCTTCCAGGCATGAGATCTGACCCATTCCCAGGAAAGACCTCAGCTTATCTGTGGAGTACTGTGCCGCGTCCTAGTGCAAAGGAGACTACACACCCCTGGTCCTCACCTCTCTGCTCCCATGATGCATGCTGACACCCCCTGCCTGGATCTCTGTCTTTCCTCCCTACATCCTTATTAGTAGAGTGAGGGTGTCTATGGCCTTGTGGATGACCACATGCTTCTGTGCCATTCGATCCAGGGGGGAGAATCTGCAGCTGTAGAGTGTGAGGGGAACGATGGGATCGGACCATGGTGGGTCACCATTTTACCTTCTGTATAAACAAGATATTATGACTGAACGTTCATGTGGAACTGTTTCTTAACAGTTGAGGAATATTCTCCCACACTGGAATTTCTGATGGAGTACCTCATTGTCAATACCAAATAATAAACATGCTTATGAAAGGAGAGTGACTTAGAAGTCAGGTTGCTGGTATTTTGTTTATTGTCAGAGCTGGAAAATCCTTGACTGGTAGGCTAGATACAACAGGAGGCGCTTAGCACCATGGAGATTCAGAAAGCAGGGTGGAGTGGACTTGCGTGGGACTACAGGAGGAGGGTGTAGTGGTTTAAATGAGACTGTCCCCCATTGAATCATATGCTCACATTCTGGGTTCCCAATTGGAGTATTTGAGGAGGATTAGGGGATATGACCCTGTTGGGGAGGCGTGTCACTGGGAGTGAATTTTGAGGTTTCCAAAGCTCAGTCCATTCCCAGTTAGCCCTCTGTCTGCCTCTTGTTTGTGCATCTGAGGGAAGATCTCACTCCTGCCCCAACACCGTGCCTACCTGCATGCTGCCTTGCTCCCTGCCATGATAGTAAGGGAATCAAACCCTGTGCAGATGTGAGCCAGAAATTAAATGTTTCTTTTAAAAGTTGCCTTGGTTGTGTTGTTTCTTCATGGTAACAACAAAAACACACATACACACACACACAGAAAGAAAAACAAAACAACAAAAACAAAAACAAAAAAACCCCAGCTAAGACAGCACAAGGAAATCCAGTCCAGCCAATCTTGGGAACACTGCACTCCGTGGGCCTGACATTCAAAACGGCCAGGCTGTAAGACTGTAAGTGGATCCTTCTGCCCCCCTCCCCAGGAGAGAGAGTCCCACGCATCAGTGGGACCTGGTTGCAGCTCGGGTGGGTTGTCATTGATGTGCTGGCTGAGGGCACCAGTGGCCATTCCCTGGAGATGTGTGTGTGTCCGCCAATGAACATGAGCAGCAGCCGTGTGTCCTTCATGAGAAACAGAGCTCCACGGAATTATCTCAGAGTTGTGTCGCTATCTAAACACATTCTTTTTATTTCAAGAGACTTGAATGTGTAAACGTACACTGCCCCATACGGGATCCTGCGATGTATCCCCACTCAGAGACCATGCTACTCCTGGGAGCTGAAAACAAACCATGCTTTGTGTCAGTCTGCCCTTCAGGAGAGAACCCAGAGTTGCCTTGCTCCAAAAATCTACCTGTCTCCTGGCAACAGAAGCAGCCTGAGAACAGGTGAGATTCTCAGCTCCCGCACTTGCTGATATCTCATTCACGGTCAAGAGTTTAACTGAGCATTTCAGAATTACCTGCACAACTCCTGGGGAGAGCCAAAATAAACGAGGGCTTTTCTTTGTTGAAGTCCCAGGCCTGAATTCAGAATGGTGATTCTGGGTGTGTTTAGCACATGGCGGTGCACACTGGCACTTTCTTGAGTAGGCATAAGACAATATTCTGTGTATTCTTCTATGCTCCCTCTTCTAGCCTCTCTCATAGAGCCAGCATTTTAACAAGTGTCTGTTTTTAATGCCATGTTGGTTTCTCTTTATGGACCTAGGCATGGTTGCACAGAGAGCAGGAGACCGAGCCGGCATACAAGCCTGTGCAGTCTGCTTTCTAGTGGCCCCTCCTTCCCAGTTCCCCTCTGTGATGACGAGAGTGAAGCACAGAGACCTCTGGACACCTCTTGCATCTATGGACCAGGTCTTTGTATGATGCACTGTTGAATGATGCACTGTCGAATCCTCACCACTGCGTATTTGCAGGCATAAGTACTCCAGCTTCACAGAGGGTTTTTGGAGGTGGGAAACGGTAGCCAGAGACAACAGCCTTTGTCTGTCTCCCACTCAAAACCCTGTACCCTGTAGACACTCTTTGTCTGTCTGTGGCCACCCAGACTCCTTAAGCTGCCATCAGTCATACTGCCAGCCGTTTTCTTTCCTCAGTTTGCCCCTCTCCTATTCTTTGCTGTGCTGGCTCCGTGGTGAGGGTAGGAGAGGAATTGTGGCAGTTTTCCTTGTCTGACTTGGTGGTCATTTCATCATGGAGAAAGATCTGACATTGTTTTTCAGTTCATTTTATACTGCTAGAATAAAAGGGGCCCGGGCTGGGTAAATAATAAGAGCAGAAATTTACTTTGTCACTAGATCAGGGTCCATAGAGCCTATGACCAACGAAATCAAGCAGCAAAGACCGGAGCTGAGAAGGGGACAGATCAACTTTGCAAAAACAGCAACAGAACACCCCACGCTGTCTTACATCTCATCTCCCGACCTAAGTGTTCTGGAGACCAGGGGGACTGACGAGACCAGGCTAAACCTTCTGGAGCTCTGTCTCGTCCCTCTGATTAGACACTTTTCTGAGGCAGGTGATGTCGCCGCTCCTCTTGCTAACATCCTCCTCATGTTTCCCACATGCTCTTGGTGTCTGGCTTCAGGCATATTTTGAAATGCAGAGTCTGGTTAGTTCCTGCTGATATCAACCATGTGGTCCACCAGGGGCTTTAGGGCTGGGGTGGTGGTGGAATCAGCTTAGAACGAGCAAACCAGTAACCATGTATATATATTAAGCTATTAACCAGAAGCATGAAGATTCCTTTCTATAATATGGAGATCCAATTCTTCTATATAATGCAGCACAAATGGATAGGTGTCCCTTTCCATCCCTCCTGATCCGTCACGTCTCACAGTTCTGGAGTCCAGGAAGACCAACACTGAGGAGCTGTCTTGTCCTGCATAAGGAGAGACTCGTTGGCATGTCCTCCAGTGGCCGAGTGCGGGAAGGCACGTGGATGTGAATTGTTTATTCACTGGGCTCAGAGGCAAACACACTCACAAAATTCATTTATTTTGTTTTCCTGTGTTTCTCTTTGTGTGTGCATGTGTGTGGTCCCAGCACTTTGCCAGAGTTGGCACTGAATGTCTTTCTTATTCACTCTCCACTTTTTTTGCTGAGTCCTGTTCTCTCACAGAACACAGAACTAGCCAGGCCTGCCCTCAGAGATTTCCTGTCTCTTCCTCCAGAGTGCAGGGATTACAAGAGGTCCACCAGAGCCACGTGGTTTTACGTGGTTGCTGGATCTTAACTGTGCCCATCCTGCTTGTCTGACAAGCACTGTACCCATTCAGCCTGCTTAGGATCACACCCACCCTCTTCATGGTCCTTTTGCTCCACCCACTCTGGGTGAGTCCTCCTAACATAATTGCCTCCTCTAATTAAGTCTTCCCTCTCATACTAGTTTACTGTGTTTCTTCAATGTGAGGGTTTTGTTTTGGTTTTGTTTGTTTGAGAAAGGCACATTTTTAGGTAGATCAGACCATCCTGGGACTCTCTATGTAGACTAGGCTTAGCCTGGTGGGATCTCGTCCTGAGACCACTACTACCTTTAGTCCATGCAGCATCAGGCTTTTTTTTTTTTAACTTTTTAATCTCTTTGAGCACTGGACTCAGCTCTCATACACTTTCTGGTGCTCTTTTTCTCCTCTAACTTCACATTTTGTATTTCTCCTTCTCCGCCTTGCTTCTTTCCCATGTACACCTGTAACTAAAGAGTGACCACTAATTGCTACACAACACAGTCCACACTAGAGTGTCTTGAAATCTCCCCTTCCAGCGCTAGTAAACTAAAACTCTTCATGTTAGCTTCAGGCAGAAGTTACGGTCCACGGCAAAAGGCAGCAGCATTCTTTGTGAAATATCACAAGAACCTATTTACTAATATTCTTCTCCCCTGAAAGCTCCTGGTTAGGGCCTTCCCAGCCTATGTTGCACTCAGGATCAAAATCTTCCAAAATCTTTGCAGTATGGTCCATTAATCCATGCTGAAAGTGGTTGACTGCTCTCCTGCTCCAAAGTCCACATTCAGCCCAGAAGAAGCATGCCGGCCACAGCATTGGGCCCCTGGCTAGTGTCTTAGTCACTGCTCTGTTGCTATGCAGTCAGACCATGCTCGTGGCAACTCTTATGAGAGCAAGCATGTAATTGGGGCCTGCTTAAAGTTTCAGGGGATTAGTCTACTGACATCATGGTGGCAGACAGGGTGCTGGAGAAGTAGTTGAAAGTTCTGCACCCAGAACTGAATGCTGAAGGAAGAGATAGAGAGAGCCATTGGGCTTGGCTTGAGCATTTGAAACCTCTAAGCCCACTCCCAGTGAGCTGCTTCCTCCAAGAAGACCACCAGGACTTCAACAAGGCAACATCTGCCAATCCTTCTGAGAAGTACTACACCCTGATGAGTAAGCATTCTATCTTAGTGCCTATGTATGTGTGTGGTTGGGGAGCCATTCTTATTTAAACCACTGCACACACCGAGACTGGAACACGCTGGCTTGGACGTCCTCTGTGGAATTCCTTCAGTTCAGCACTTGGTGGCATGAGGAGGCTGTTGTTCAAAGGGCACAGGATCAAATGCTAATCCTCCTATGGTGATCACCATTGAACAGCCTGTGGGGTTGAGAGGCAAATGCATGATGATGCTTAAGCAATAAGTAATGGGACTTTGCTGTGTCAGAGACTAGAAATGGTTTAAATACCTGAAAATGCTACTGCAGACTTTTCACAAAGCAGACAAAGGGCCAATGACAGACTTCAGAAGTAGGTTAGACAACAATCTGAAAAAGACTTTCTCATCTAATCTCAGAGAGCTGTTATCGAAAACGTTAGTCTTTGGCAAGGGTAATGGAGAGCGTTGCCAGATCTGCAGGACATTAACGAGGTGTCACAACGTAGGGAAGCCTTCAACCTGGACTTGCTTTTTCCCAACTATGATAACAAAAGATTGGCAATGGAGAACTGCAGATCTAAAAGATGAGTTTTCCACCATCCCCTAACTTAACAAGGCTGCGAAAGACTTGCCTTTGTCATAGAAATATTAATATTAGATTCCACTGTCAAAAGATATTAATAAAAAGTATTATGTCAAGTCATAATTAAACAGCCCAAATAGATGTTAGTTATATGTAGGTTTTCTTTTGGCCCCTGTGAAAAAGGCTGTTCCCTCAGGCTTATATTACCTATGCTATAGATGGTATTTTGGTTGCTGTCCCTGAGGCACAACTTTAGAGGACCGCAGGCAATAGAGGATCTCTCTTTTCTCAACAAAGCTGTCCTTGACCTAGCGATTGATGATTGGTGAAATTAGGGTCTGCCTACAACAGAAATAGTTCATTGGAACCCACCAAATCAACAAAGGGCAGCATTTCATGCCAATTTCATTTCAGCCTCAATTTGATATTCTACACTAAAATATCTGCTAGTTGAGCCTGGTAGGATGCCAGCCAGTGGGGATGCTTAGGATGATGTCTCACGCGTGTCCACGGACCTCTCCTTGAGCAATCTGGTGTCTGAAACGGCTACAAATTGCGTGATTTTCCTGAAGTAAAAGCCACAGGCTGTTTCATTGAAATGAATGAATCTTGTGTGAAGGGGGTATGTTCAACCTCATAAGAGTTCAGAGGGAAATGCACTACAACAGATCCCCGTGTATAACGATGATAAAAATGAATAAATGGTATTCCAGCTCTCAAGTTCACTCCCACTTCCACATCAGTTGCTTTACTGTGAAAACTAGCTTTGTCTT